AGACAGTCTCAAAAACAGTCTTTAACCTTACATGACTTTACTCCGACACTCATCTGATAACAGAATACTCCCAATAACATTGAAACTAGAATATTTTGAGAAGCTGCTTTGAAACAATATGTATTGTGAAAAGCGCTACACTAATAAACTTGATTTGAATTGAATCAATAATGAAGATAAGGCCTGTGATTAGATATCTGATGTGAAATGAAGGCAGATTGATTACATTGGGAAACTTCGACCCATATTGTAGTACTTAACACATTCATTTACTTTTAGTTCATATTATATATTTATAGGGAGTCAATCAATCATGACACATTTCAATAACTGCAATTCATATATAACTTAATCAATTAATAAGATGCAGTAATAATTACTAAATGGTTACATTTTTCATGAGTATTACATTTAAAGTCCCCCCTTGGAGAACATCAAGCTTTTAATGTTGTTTGAAATCGCTGGTGTTTCTGACGTCACAAACGACCTTGTAACCAATCAGATCAACGTGTGATCGTCAACCAGTGGATCTCTGAGCTGAGGGAGTGAGTGGAGGCGGGGCTCATTTGCATATTCATAGAACCACGCATACTAAATGAGGCAAGGGTGTCGAAGTTACATTCAAGATATTTTATGCCATGAAGAGGAAAAAAACATTTAAATATGTCATTTTGGTGATGAAAGATGAGTTTTAAGGGACTACAGGGAGACTTTAAGTCAACATTAGTTAAGCATGAATTAATGCATATGAGTGCACACATTCTGTAAAGTGTTACTGAAACTTCTGTGTGATTCCAGCAAAACCCAAGACATCAAATAAGGAAATATTGTAATATCATAACAGTATATGTAACGCACTAGAGCACATGAGCGCAGAGGATCCCGAGAGAACTCGGCCTGCCAGACGCCCAGGTTTTACGGCACCGCGAGGATCCGTAAAGCAGAAGATGTTCAGCATCTCCACAGAAAGAGCCGCTGTGCGTTTGCAGAATTATGAGCTGAACTGATTCCTCCTGAACGCCACAATCTGGGTTTTGTGGTACTTTTGAGGCTCGGCGGACATCTGCCTTTAGTGCGGCTACAAATGCGCTCTCGTTGCAGGGGAAATACCTGTCAGATGATGTAAATAGACTTGCAGTCATGACTCAATCATGCTGAAGCTGAAGTCGCTCCTCTGAGGGTTCGGCCTCGTCCAGGAGCTTCGCTTTCTGCGGTTTCCTCATCAGGACAGGAGCGTAACTCACAGCAGCCGTGCACGGGGTCATCGCTCATAACAGCTGAAGAAGGGAATCGAGAAACACTAATAATAACATGTCAGCGCCAACCTGTGTGACGGAGAAAATTTCTATAAAACTGCAAAATTGCTGAAAGTGTAATTTAAGGAGCGTGTCAGGCTGGTTTGTTGTGCTCTTAAAAGAAGATGAACAGATCTGGAGCTAAACCTTGACTGCTGGACGTCTGCGTCATAACTCCTCCGCTTCTTACTGAGTGCAAAGTTTTTGTGTCCTTGTGTGACTAAAATGAGTTGTGTTTGTGTGTGTAAATCAGCTGTGAGATGCTCTTTATTCAGCGCGCCTGCGCTCCTGCCTTGAGTCGACGCGCCATCAACACATTTAGATCTCAGACTGTTTTTTAAATGCATGTCATTGTAAAGAATTAGTTTCAATGTAACACTTTAATGGGTACACTGTTAGAAAAAGGTTCAATGTGCTTCTATATAGAACTCTAGGGTCTCATCTCAGTTTTAATGGCAAAAAGCTTCTATATAAGGAGTAATGTCTTAAAGTCCCCTTGTAGTCAATCATTGTATCCCTTAAAGCTTATCTTTAATCACCAAAATGACATATTTAAACGTTTTTTTCCTCTTCATGGCATAAAATATCTTGAATGTAACTCGACACCCTTGCCTCATTTAGTATGCGCGGTTCTATGAATATGCAAATGAGCCCCGCCTCCACTCACTCACTCAGCTCAGAGATCCACTGGTTGACGATCACACGTTGATCTGATTGGTTACAAGGTCGTTTGTGACGTCAGAAACACCAGCGATTTCAAACCGTGTTTTTGAGACTGTCTTTGGTTCACTGCAGTTTTAAGCAGAAAATACTCCGCAATGCTGTCGACTTATGAACTTACACATGGTGTGTCTTAAAGCATATTAAAAACACCACATACACACATAAACAACTTTAAAGGTCTAAAGGGTTATTAGGGGCATAGCACTTTCTTCTTCTTCTTCTTCTTCTTCTTCTTCCGCATGTGAGTCTATGGCAGCCAATAGAACTGCTTGTGGGAAAATGATGTAATTTGGCACAGAGATAGAGGACAGAATTAAAATGAACCTGAACAACTTTGGAGTCTCTACCTCAATACCTCTAGCGCCACCAACTGTCCAAATTTTCACATACATTTAACTTTTGAACCTTAAGGGATAGAAATAAAATGAGTTTATCCTCTGATTCCTTGGCTCAAGTCGATTCGATTGCAGGGAGCTATTTAAAGTTTTTTTTGAAAAGCAAATAATAATAACGTGCAAATGAATTTGAAGAAGAACTGAACAAAATGGACGTGAGGCTGAATTTACGCAACGGGTTCGCGTAATAATACCAAACTTGGTACATGTCATCACAATCATGACCTGAGGCTACTTGCAGCGTTTCGGCACAGCGCCACCTACTGGTCGGGAGATATGGAAATGGCTATTTTTGCTGATAACTTCATTTTTTCTGCGTCGGCCATTTTGGGCGTCAGCCATTTTTAATTTTGCCGTAAAAAATACTGTTTTAGCGTATCATTATGAAACGTGTCATCGGCACCATGCCCTGATGGTACTCAAAAAGCTTTGAGACAGAAATCATAATGAAATTACAAAAAATGCTAATAGCTATTTTAATGATCAGTTTGTCTTGATAGATTCCTTGAGTTATACTGAGAACAATGCTACCAATTATGCCATATTCGTTAAAAGTTATTAAAAGCTTTTTGATTGACCAAACAGTTCTCGAATAATACATTAACAAATGCTTTGCCTTATTGAATCTAAACTTTGTATGTCACCTCACACTGACCACACAACATCAATTTGGTAACAGCGCCACCTATTGGGCAAAAGTGCTAAGCAATTTAATCATATTACATGTGATTGAAACAAAAAAATGTCCAGCTATTTTGCCTAAAATAATCTAAAAATGTCTTTAATCACTCATTGTTGCAGTCGGTCTGATGCTTCCAGCCATGTTTGCATAACTCTTCATGCCCTTTTTGTGCTTGGCCCCGATAATTGCTTCTTGTAGCTATATTTTCAAAATGTTTGTAGTGATAAAGTATGTTTTACAAGCTGTAGGCCTAAATCAGTCAATACGTGTACAGCATCACTTTTTTTTTAATAACTTTGATCACTTTACTATTATTGTGACATTTGGAGAAAAAAAGTCCAGATTACCTAAACATTAGTTTACTTTTAACTAGTATAGAAAAATGGCAAAATTATCAACACATGGATTTTGTACAGAAAAAGGATCTGATGTTCAAGTGTTTCTATTGTTATTTACATTGTGTAAAGTGGTTCATTTTCTTTTGACTCGATTTAATCTAAATGAGTGTTGAGTGATGAGAATATACAATCAGATGAAAAACAATTCAATAAAACAGAAATGCACATTAGTTTTAGGCTAAAAAAGACCGTAGAGAGAACGTTCCCCAAAATAATCAGGAACCAAATGTGGGACCATTAAGAAACACTCTGCCTGAACAAATGATGAATGCTGTTCACTGGGTATTCTTGGACAAACCCAGTCTCCTGTTAATTGTGCTGGTTTCAGAATAACGAAATAAATAAATAAATAACCAGCATACAGTAGCAGAGGGCAGGGAAGATGTCTCTTTCAATTGTGTGTATTCAGACAGAAGGCGTTGCCTTTGGCCGGCTCCGGGGCACGAGGTGAGGAAACACAACAACAACACACAGCAAACGCAGCATGAAAGGTGTGTGTGTGTGTGTGTGTGTGTGTGATTCTCCCTCCGAGGAAAACCTGTGAGAACATCCAAACTCCACAGCATCACGGACAACAACTAACACTTTTGAGACTAGTTTATTCTCACGTACACATACAGAAAGGCCAGTGCTCGCATTTGACCTGTGGCTTGATATTTATGTGCATTTGGATCATTTATTTATCTTTGGAATCTGTAAATCCGAGTTTCACATCCCATTCCCAAACTGGTCAATCAATATTTAATAATGCACACTTGAAACACCAGACTCTTCCCTTAATGCCTTATGGACAACTTATTTTATTCACATTTTTATTCACAAAAATGGAATAGGCTAATACAATACAGTCAATCCATAAATGACCACCACGCATACAGCCGATAGTTTCAAAGTAATTAAGAACAGAGCTTTGTAGTTTTTGATCATTTGTCAAAATCAAAAGCTTTAATAAAAAGGGTCCTCCTGGGAATGAATAAAGTTATGTTTGACTGTAGTTTTATGTAAGCAGCAACATAACAGTGTCCTTACATGCTTTGGTAAATCATTATGACATAAAAACTCTTTCAAAGAGTAAAGAGTTTTTTTCGAGTCTTCATAACAAAAATCTAAATTATGAGATAAAGTCCAAATTGACATACTAAGTCATATTTATGAGATTAAAAAAGTGAAAATGATTACATACTATATCATAATTCTTACTAGTAAATGTCATGACAATGAAATTTTGACTCGAGTATATTTGACTCGAAAGTCATGACTTGTACGCCATAATTCCGAATTTACCTCATAATTATTAGGCTACTTATGTCATAGTTTCGACGTTGTCTCAAAATGAAATTTTACGTGTCAAATTTGTGATTTACAAAATCATTATTATTTTCTTATGTTGCTTCCATATAGCGGATATTTAAGCAGAATATCCAGTGTGTTATGTAGCAGAAAGGTTGGCTCGGCGGTCAGTCAGAGCATTTCGCTCAGGCAGATCCTCAGACAGCCTCCTCACGGGGTCCTTCAGTCACCCGGAAGAAGCGCCAGTGTTTACAGTCTGGCTGCAGAAACACGTGTGTGTGTGATGATCAACACAGGTTACAGTCACTGCTATTGACTTTCTGTTTGTCTGCAGCGATTAAAACATCATCTGTGAAATAAACATCATGAGAGTTGTTGCGTTGATCAGGTAACGTTAACACGACGCTGCGTCTACCGCGATTACAACGAGACGTGAATATGATGGTGTAAGTTAAACCTGTGTGTGTGTGTGTGTGTGTGTGTGTTGCAGTGGCGGTAAAGACAGCTGTTATAACATGATGCAGTGTGTGTCTGCTGGTCACACTATAGTGGCCCTTGCCAACCTCAGGCCTCCTGCACACGGTAAGATCACAATAATTACTTTTCCCAATTAAGATCTCCCCAGACACTGCTAAATGCTGAGTTACAGTTATAGTTTTTACATTAGGATATAAGGATCATGTGACACTGAAGACTGGAGTAATGATACTGAAAATTCAGCTTTGATCACAGGAATAAATTACACTTTACTATATATTCACATAGAAAACAGCTGATTTACATTCTAATAATATTTCACTGTTTTTACTGTATTTTTGATCAAATAAACACAACCTTGGTGAGCAGAAGAGACTCTTTCATAAGCATTAAAAGTCCCCAAATTTTGAATGTTCATGCATATGTGTTTATATTTGTGTGTATATTGTCAGTAATTCCTGTGTTGTTGGTCAGCCGTGTCGGATGAGCTGGACAGTTACATGTATCAGACGGTGGGTCACCAGGCCGTGGATCTGCTGGCGGAGGCCATGGATCTGCCCCTCTACAGGCACACTATCAAGGGCTCGAGTCTGCAGACCGGAAGAGAGTACAGCCAGACGGAAGGAGACGAGGTGGAGGATCTCTATCAGCTGCTCAAACTCATCCAGGTAAAACACCTCTGCGTCTGCAGGAGCACTGGTGCTGTTCGAGTCCATCAGAACGAGCGCTAGTGCTGTTCGAGTCCAGCGGAACGAGCGCTAGTGCTGTTCGAGTCCAGCGGAACGAGCGCTGGTGCTGTTCGAGTCCAGCGGAACGAGCGCTGGTGCTGTTCGAGTCCAGCGGAACGAGCGCTGGTGCTGTTCGAGTCCAGCGGAACGAGCGCTGGTGCTGTTCGAGTCCAGCGGAACGAGCGCTGGTGCTGTTCGAGTCCAGCGGAACGAGCGCTAGTGCTGTTCGAGTCCAGCGGAACGAGCGCTAGTGCTGTTCGAGTCCAGCGGAACGAGCGCTAGTGCTGTTCGAGTCCAGCGGAACGAGCGCTGGTGCTGTTCGAGTCCAGCGGAACGAGCGCTAGTGCTGTTCGAGTCCAGCGGAACGAGCGCTGGTGCTGTTCGAGTCCAGCGGAACGAGCGCTAGTGCTGTTCGAGTCCAGCGGAACGAGCGCTAGTGCTGTTCGAGTCCAGCGGAACGAGCGCTAGTGCTGTTCGAGTCCAGCGGAACGAGCGCTAGTGCTGTTCGAGTCCAGCGGAACGAGCGCTAGTGCTGTTCGAGTCCAGCGGAACGAGCGCTAGAGCTGTTCGAGTCCATCAGAACGAGCGCTAGTGCTGTTCGAGTCCAGCGGAACGAGCGCTAGTGCTGTTCGAGTCCAGCGGAACGAGCGCTAGTGCTGTTCGAGTCCAGCGGAACGAGCGCTAGTGCTGTTCGAGTCCAGCGGAACGAGCGCTAGTGCTGTTCGAGTCCATCAGAACGAGCGCTAGTGCTGTTCGAGTCCAGCGGAACGAGCGCTAGTGCTGTTCGAGTCCAGCGGAACGAGCGCTAGTGCTGTTCGAGTCCAGCGGAACGAGCGCTGGTGCTGTTCGAGTCCAGCGGAACGAGCGCTGGTGCTGTTCGAGTCCAGCGGAACGAGCGCTAGTGCTGTTCGAGTCCAGCGGAACGAGCGCTAGTGCTGTTCGAGTCCAGCGGAACGAGCGCTAGTGCTGTTCGAGTCCATCAGAACGAGCGCTAGTGCTGTTCGAGTCCAGCGGAACGAGCGCTAGTGCTGTTCGAGTCCAGCGGAACGAGCGCTAGTGCTGTTCGAGTCCAGCGGAGCAATTTTGTCAGAACTTCTAGTAAATTATGTTTTGTTTAGTTGTCAGTTCAGAATCGTGGGAGAATCGTGATCTCAGTTTAACCAGGATCCTGCCGCGGTCGCGTCCAGGGTTAGCCAAGTTTCTGTGCGTTAAGAAAAGTGGTAAGGTGAATCTTTGTGCCATTTAGTTTAAAGGAAAACAGTATTCGGTGGACTGGTAGCCATAGTTAAAGTGTTGTAAAGTGTGAGTGTTCAGCTGAAGGAGGTGTTGCTGCACTTCTGATGTCCAAGCACTGAAAGTGCGCAGCTCCTCTTGAAATCGTTGCCGTTCTTATTATTATTCTTCTTCCGTATGGAAGTCTAAGGCAGCCCATAGAACCGCTTGCGGGAAAGTTATGAAATTTGGCACACAGATAGAGGACAGTCTGAACAGTCACCATAGCAAATTTGGAGACTCTAACACAATCCCTCTAGCGCCACCAACTGTCCAAAGTTTCACTCATGTTTATGCCAATAACTTTTTGAACTATACGGGCTAGAAACTAAATTTTCCGCCATTTTGAATCTTCCGAAAAACCTACTTTTTCGAACTCGTTCTAGACGGGTGCTTCAATTTTTGCTACGAAAATTTAACCAGATCAGCTTCAGACCATGCCGACAAAAAGTTATGCAATTCGAGTTGATTTGTCAAACTGTTATTGAATATTGCGTTCGAATTTTACGTAGCGCTTGCAAAAACATACGTAAGGCTGAATCTCCGCAACGCTTTATCGTATTCGGACCAAACTTGGTCCATGTCATCAGAAGCATGACCTGAGTCTACATGCTGTGTTTCGGCGCAGCGCCACCTACTGGTCCGGAGATAAGGAAAATGGCTATTTTTGCTTATAACCTATGAACGGTTTGTCCAAAAATCATAAGTGGTCTCGTTAGATTCAGGGCGTCATACCGAGTCGACTGATATCCAATTCGACTATTTTAGGCGTCGGCCATTTTGAATTTTGAACCAAAATGCTGTATTTTATGAACGTATTGTTACGAAACTCGGTATGGGTCATCAGTACGATGCCTTGAATGAGCCGGAGAAGTTTTGAACCAGCGCCACCTAGTGGTAAAATACATTTTTTAAATGCTTATAACTCTGGGTGTGGTTGACTTATTTTCACGGGAGTCATCTCCTTGGGTTCCTGAATCCCTGCCGAGTCCAACGATACCAAACATGCTAGGTTTCGCCTTACGGTTTGTGTAGCGTTGTGATTTAGCGCTTAAAAAACATTTGCCAATATCTTCGAAACCGTTAGACCGATTGAGACGAAACCACCGTCAGAAGTTTGGAAACATAGGTCGCTGGCTATACGCTAATGCCCAAATGCCAAAATATTGATAGTAAGTGGCAAGAAAATGCAAACAAAGTCAGGTGTGGGTAATTTTTTTATGTGTTTATACATATAAATATCTATAACTCCAAAACGAAATTAGATATTTTCACCAAATTTGACACACATGTATGGGCTCACTCTGAGGACACTGTGGGAACTGTGGGATTGAGCCTCTTGGTGGCGCTATTGTAGAACAAAACATGAAATTGCCATTGACTTCAATACAGTATTGTGATATGAAAGACTATACTTTATTAATGCTTTAGCGTATCGTTACGAAACTCGGTATGAGTCATCGGCACCATGCCTTGAAGGTACTCAAAAATATCCGGGCAGCGCCACCTTGTGGTAAAAAAATATATATTAAAAAAATCCCAAAATGCTAATAACTTTTGAATAAATTTGCCTATTGTAATGACACTGGTCTTAATAGATTCCTTGGGTTATGCCGAAAACACAGATACCAATTTTGCCATATTTTCCCAAACGTCCAGTCCGCCATCTTTATTTTCTTTTAAAACCTACTTCTTCAAACTCCTCCTAGACCGTTTGTCCGATTTTCACCAAAATCGAATCGTGTCATCTCCAGACCGTGCCGACTAAAAGTTGTGGATTTCGTGTTGATGGATGAAACCGTTTTCTTTACCGCAGCAGCAAAGTTGAGGCATGATGCCAAAATAACTATTTAAGCTTTATCTCTGCAATGCCTTCACATTTTGACACCAAACTTCGTATGTGTTATTGTCACCTCACTCTGACCACATCACATCAATTTCGTAACTGCGCCACCTATTGGTCGAAAGTGATAATCCATTCAATCATATTTTAGTTACTGTTTATATGATTTTTCAGCCATTTCGCCTAAAATCGTCTTAAAATGTCTTTAATTGCTCCTTGCTGCAGTCGGTCTGCCACTCCCAGCCATGTCGGCATGTCTTTCCTCTTATTGCGCTTGGCCCCGATAATTGCTGCTAGCGGCTATATTTGATAGTGTTGTGATTGTTGAATGCGTTGTGTCTGTCAGCTGATGTGATGTTTGCTCGCATCACTTCCTGAATCTGAGGAGAACTGAGAGAGATTTCAGACTCCCACACGCGTTTGAGGCCCGACAGACGCCTTCCCCCTTATTTTCACACAAGACTGGCATCAAATTTTAAGGGCTTGTTGTTTTGGGCTGGAGGAGGTTAGGTGTGTGTGTGCGGATCTGAACCTGCGCTGGGAATTTAACCGTTCAGCCTCCGATCTCAAACTCCTGCAGTTGTTTTGAGGAAGCACAGCTCTGTAATCGAAACAAGACGCTTCTAAAGCTCTCCGATAATGAGGAATTACATCACGGACTTTCAGCAGCTACAACCATCCAATCAGCTCCCAATGGACCGAACAAGCCCCGCCCACATGTGTTCTTGATCCAGAAGCGTTTCACTCGGATATACGACACAATAGAAGATAGAGAATAAAAGACGAGCGCAACTTCCCTTTAATGATGACTTTTATAGAGGCACTTAAAAATGAAACCATATTTATCTGTTCCACCCAAAATTGAATTATCAGTGGTCACCAGAACCGTTTGATTAGCAACATTCTTCAAAACATCATACTTTGAAACACTTTTCATTCAAATAATTATATATGCATATGATGCTTTTTAATGTTTTCCTCTTGCTTTAGTGTGTAATTAGTGTGTAAAGATCTGCAAACTTACACACCAGGGTCAGAAATGAATGGCCCTCAGGGCAAAAATAACACCAAAAATCTATTAAATTGCCCCAAAAATGAGTTCTGTATGAGTTCTTGTTTTAAATATTTATAACAGCATATACACAAAACCACACCTGAGCATGAGTGCTGTTTTCCCCAATATCAGCACTATTGCAAACGTGATATTAACTTTATAAAACATTTCAATAAAACGATAAGTTAATATAAGGTGACTTACATTTTAGACTCAGAATATTGTTTTTGCTCTATTATTCCTACGAATAGTTCCAAACAGATCCACAGGTTTGAGCCATTGTGCATTTCATGATGTTTCGTTTGTGAATTAATCCACGTTTTTGAAAGATTCGGTCTAACAAGTGATTCAAACACAGTTGCCGTGTCCCTGCATGATTCAGGCGTTTTGAATGAATGAAATGATTTTTCCTTTTCCCCAAATTCCATTTTTTTTCCCCCAAATTCTTTTTTTATCTTTTTGATTTTCTGGATTTCCGTTTTAATGGTTTAATGTTCATAACCAAATGTAATAATTAATTATTAATAATAATTTAAATTGAAAAATGTCAATCGTAATTATTTATATATATAATTTTTTATATATATTTTTTTACAATAACAGGGCCCTTTTGCTTTTTTAGAAATTCTGTGTTTTTTTCTGAATGTCTGATTTAATACAAATTTATTATCAAAAATGGTGTTAATAAAATTAAGGCATAAACCAATAATAAACTGTATTTTTATTGTTAATATTTCTTTGAGAGGTATTCATTCTACTGTACAATAGTCA